GCGCGTGTACCACGTGTGACTGGTGCGCGTGTACCACGTGTGACTGGTGCGCGTGTACCACGTGTGACTGGTGCGCGTGTGTACCACGTGTGACTGGTGCGCGTGTACCACGTGTGACTGGTGCGCGTGTACCACGTGTGACTGGTGCGCGTGTGCCACGTGTAACTGGTGCGCGTGTACCATTATTTTAATTTGTATATTGTTTAATCATTAATAATTTTCGTATGCAAGTCAAATTTTTATACATATTTTATATCGCGTGGTAAAGATTGTTACAATTTCTATAATAAATTCTAATTATGCACTTAATTGACTTGATTGCCCTATTAATTATAAAGATAAGAATGATAAGGGGACAGTAAGCATTTATTTTGGTTTTAGAATTCTTGTCTATCACGAGCACGTCAATAAAATCTTACAAGCAAGAGGATAAGCTATGTGTAGAATACAATGAATATTGTACGTTTGTTAACGCTGTAACATACGCTGTATGTTACTTCTGTGTTACACAGTACAACATTAAATCATATATTGCATCGTATGTACAGGGCATCATCACATTACCGAGAAACTAACCATGGGTGTACAACATATGTACTTTCATACCTGACGATGTGATAATAATGTACAAGGCAGCACATTTCTTCAGGTTTACAGAGTAATAGATAAATACATCGTATCTGAGTACATACAAGCATTGCACTCACGACGGAACATTGTATACATTGTACCTGCTATACAATTCATTGCACAATAGAACACCTACATAACAAAAAAATACAACTCAGTACTCACTGCAGTGAGTGACAGAGAGCGCATTTTCTCGTCGACGAAAACGTGAAGTCACGGACGGACGGACAGACAGACGGACATGACGAGCACAATAGTGCATTTTTTTCATAAATGAGAAAATGCGCTAAAAAGAGAAAACATTTCTTAATGTAATAGGAAATTATAAATTAATGATTAAATACATCGTTCATTAATGTTAATCGCTCAGATCTTGGTTAGCAATATGTTTTATTTAATGACCATCTAGAAAAAGAGATGACATGGTCTAACATGACAATGGCAAACATAATAGCCATGAAAATAACCTACAGCAAACAGCAATGAAATATTTTCAAACAGCATGAACATGATGTAATGAACTTAGCAGTGACCCCACGCCATGCATAACGGGTAGAGAATTTTTTTTTACGCATAAATGGAAATGTTTACGAGTGCGCATAATTCCATGCAACAAATATACATGTTTCTACGCAAAAATTACGATTGTCATATTCAATCAATTCTTGGCATGCAATCCCGTAATTCTTAGCACGTGTTTTAAATAAATCAATATAAGGAAGAGGTTATAGAAGTCAGGGTGGCCCAATAGGTAAAGTTCAGAGTATCAAGATTGGAGCAGAGAGGTGCGGGTTCGAGACCGCAACAAGCTGTAAATTTCCTTCGATGTTGAGAACCATCGACAGGTCAAATGGCTTAAGTAACGAACAAAACGCCATATTTTCAACGTTCAGCTAAATGTTCTATATATAAAAAATTTAAATCTTTCAGCATAAAATTGGCATGTCGGTAATAAACGTTCAATTGCCAAGCAAAAATCAACTAAAGAGTCTAGAGTCAGTGACTCTTATCTAGCGGCGAGTCTAGAGTCAGTGGCTCTGATCTAGCGGCGAGTCTAGAATCAGTGGCTCTGATCTAGCGGCGAGTCTAGAGTCAGTGGCTCTGATCTAGCGGCGAGTCTAGAGTCAGTGGCTCTGATCTAGCGGCGAGTCTAGAGTCAGTGGAGTGTTCAACCGAGCGTCACTCTCAAGATCTACCTAGAACAAAGTAGAGAACATAGAGTAACAAAACGACATTATAAACACCATCATCATAATTAACATCATTATAATTATCATAATCAACTCATACATTTATTATTAATAGACCAGAGTGACAAATATTTTCATGTGTATCATACATATTCACTGTATTGGGTTTTCCCCTCATGTAATGCATGCGAAGTTTCAATTGAACAAAAATTAAGCTTAACACTCGTCAGGGATAGTGACTTCACTATCCCAATACAAATATCTTCACAAATATGAGGAAAAAATGGAAGTTAAATTAAATGAAGTGCAGTGACTGCAGTCTGAGGGCGATATCACTCAGAGAAAAGTGTGATAATTTGTCCGAATAGTGATGAACTTTTTTGCATACTGACCAGGTTTGACCTGCCGGCTGAAAGACATAGCCTATCAGTCCTAAAAGAAGCTTCACTACTTGGACAATATTACACATATATTTTTATGCGGGATATACGAGAGCACGCAGTCTTTTCGATGCACTTCAGCCATCGCATGAACTGCTTCAGGTTAAAACATTAAAATAAAATTGACAATAAAAACAATAAAATAAATATTGACGATAGGCCCAGAAGCTCAAAGATGAAATATGTACAGGGGTTGGACAAAATAAGGGAAACACCCGACATTTTGACATCGTAATTTTTGAACATGTTATTAACAATGAAAACGTGACTTATTTTTATTGTTTAGTGTTGCTGCTAATTGATATTTTATTCTTGCACAAATAGTTTTAGTAAATTTTTGGGTCTATAACCTATAAAATGGCAAAACTTTCAGACTTTCAAAGAGGCCAAATTGTTGGTGCCCGTATGGCAGGTGCTAGTGTGACAGAAACTTCCCGAATGCTTGACGTTTCTAGAGGTACTGTCTCAAAAGTAATGACTGCTTTTGAAAGAAAAGGAAAACGTCCTCAGCAAAGTACAAGTCTGGGCGAAATTCGAAGTTGTCTGAGAGAGACCGTCGGTACCTAAATCGAATTGTGAGGGACAATCGAAAGACCACGGCTGTCACAACTACTGCAGACCTCATTGGACACCTACAGAACCCAGTCTCCATAAAGACTGTCCGCCGAGGGCTGCACAGATCTGGATTTTATGGAAGAGCTGCAATTAGAAAACCTCTTGTTTCAAATACAAATGCTTCAAAGCATTTAGAGTGGTGTAAAAACCTCCAGAATTGGTCCCTTGAGCAGTGAAAAAATGTGATTTCCTTTGACGAATCATCGTTTACCTTATTTTCAACCTCTGGCCGAGTTTACGTTCGGAGACAGCCAAAAGAGTATTTTAATTCCGACTGCCTCCTCCCAACCGTAAAACAAGGCGGGGGATCTGTGATGATCTAGGGTGTTATTTCTTGGAAATCTGGCGGACCAAAGATTTCTCTTCATGGAAGAATCAACAGCCGTGACTATTTAGGAATTTTGGAGGACCAAGTTCATCCAATGGTTCAAGAACTGTTTCCGAAGGGGAACGCCATCTTTCAAGATGATAATGCCCCGATCCATACAGCTGGAAATGTTAAAAAATGGAACGAAGAATATTCTAATGAAGTTTAGCATCTCATTTGGCTACCACAATCATCAGACATGAATATTATCGAGCATTTGTCATCGATTTTACAGATGCAAGTCAGTAGTCGATTCTCGCCGCATCGTCTTTAAAAGAGCTGTAAGGAATTTTAACTGAGGAATGGGTTAAAATTCCTTTGGAAACAATTTACAATTTGATTCAAATTCACAATTCATTTGAATTAATACCTCGGAGAATTGAGGTTGTAATTGCCGCAAAAGGTGGACCTACACTAAACTAAAATACATTTTGTGGATTTGTCGGTTGTTTCCCTTATTTTATCTAACTTCTGTACATTGTTCAGAGAAGCACAAAACATACAATATGTACACACACTAAGCGAAAGGTTCCGTGGGACAGTTAAATGCTGAATGATTACCTATACAAAAATATCAATGAAAGAGAAGATTTCTTAGAACAATTATGTTTGGAACATAACAATTTCGATGAATACGAACAATACCTGCACGTGGAAGTTGGTAGAAACAGGGAGGAAAGGTGATAAATACATGCAAGCAGATGAAAACAGGAAACGGAAAAAACGGAAAACGGAGAAGAAAAAATCACAAAGAAAACTCGACATTAAAAGAAGCTCTTCACAAGCAAAAATTTATGCTAGAATAAAAAATGTACGGCCTATACTGAGGCCCAGTCAAAACAAAGGGAATTGCGAGGGAAATACACGAGAAAATACAACAAGAAAATTGTAATGCAAATTACGATGATTAGGATGAGGTACATTAATATAATATACTTAAAATCGGGACTGAAGAAACATATTGTAGTTCCAATGGCAAGGTGACTGAGATCTTACATCTACACGCAGCACGCAGCACGCTGCTAGATACACGCAGCACGCAGTACGCTGCTAGATGTCTACACGCAGCACGCTGCTAGATGCCTACACGCAGCACGCAGCTAGATGTCTACACGCAGCACGCAGCTAGATGTCTACACGCAGCAGGCTGCTAGATGTCTACACGCAGCACGCAGCTAGATGTCTACACGCAGCACGCTGCACGCTGCTAGATGTCTACACGCAGCACACAGCACGCTGCTAGATTTCTCACGCAGCAGGCTGCTAGATGTCTACACGCAGCAGGCTGCTAGATGTCTACACGCAGCACGCTGCTAGATGTCTACACGCAGCACGCTGCTAGATGTCTACACGCAGCACGCCGCTAGATGTCTACACGCAGCACGCTGCTAGATGTCTACACGCAGCACGCTGCTAGATGTCTACACGCAGCACGCTGCACGCTGCTAGATGTCTACACGCAGCACACAGCACGCTGCTAGATTTCTACACGCAGCTAGATGTCTACACGCAGCACGCAGCTAGATGTCTACACGCAGCACGCTGCTAGATGTCTACACGCAGCACGCTGCTAGATGTCTACACGCAGCACGCAACAATATTTCACGCACGGCGCTATTTTTTCGCGTTTCATCTCATTTTCTAACTATACAAGAAAAATATTCGCAATACACCACACACGATCCAGCTGTATAAACAAAACATTGGCTCTAATACTTGTGTGAAATTTACATCTGGTAAAATAAAAGATTTTACCTTCACAGCTACTCCAAGAACTAACTATTTCTGGTATGAAAATATTTTTGAATATTATCTTTCTAGCTCACTAATTTTATTCTAGCTACTTTAGAGGCCAGTCACAGCGTCAGTTTTGAAACAAAGTTTAATTATAATGTTCAAAAAAACTTAAGAAAGAGGAATGCTTCGAGTAATGTACCTGAGCAATTTCTGTGCGTTCGAGAAATAAAATATTTTGTAAAATGTTAGATAAAATGGAAAATTGAAATAACATCATCGCTGATAAAAATTGTCGGGTTTACATTGAGTGTACATTAGAGATAATAGAGATCGCGGTATTTTGTCAGCCGGCAAAACTTGTGAAGTTGAAATATATCAAAAAATAAGATAAACAGCGACATGATATTTCTCATTTCTAAATCTGAATCTACACCATAGGTCAATTTTATAACCCGCTTCTCGAGTCCAAAACAGAGAATTCGTTAAAATTCAGATAAAATTTAATTCAGAAGCCTGTTCATCATTTATATAGCAAAGTATAGCTGAATAATATAGCACTCTAGTGCTAGTAACAATACTGGTATTAGCACCAGCAACGTTAGTTTAGTAACATTTATGCCCTCAGTCTTTAAATCAACTTGAAATATTCGTTCCATCCGCTCAGCTAATCGTGATCCCGAGATTTGTTCAAGTCTTAGTAACAAACTACATACATTGGTATGACTTTATCCACCTCTGCAGTGGACTAAATTCTAGAAATTTCTTTCGATCCATCTTGGTAATGGAGTAAAACCTGGAGACTTCACTCTACAAGTAGACGGGCCGGTCTATTGGCCGTTTCACTCTGTAGAGGTCTGCTACATGGGGTAGACGGGCCGGTCTATTGGACGTTTCACTCTGCAGAGGTCTGCTCCATGGGGTAGACGGGCCGGTCCATGTAGGTCCGGAGCAGCAAGGAGCTCTCGACCCAGAGGTCCGCCTTCTCCAGCATGTGCTGCCAAATACGGCGCTCGAAACCCGTCGCGTCCATCCACTCCGCGGGCCGTCCGAACGACAAGCCTGCGGACACGGGCACGGTAAATGGTACGTTAGACGGTACGTTAGTAGGTAAGGTAAATGGTACATGTTACATTAGACGGTACGTTAGGAGGTACCGGTACGTTAGTAGGTACGGTAAATAGTGCGGTAAGTTGTACGGCGAGTGGTACGTTTGGAGGCACGGTAAGGAGTAGGAGGAACGCTGTGATGTATGGCAAGGGGTATGAAAGTAGGCAGTGAAAATGTTAAAATCAGTTAAAATTAAGAAGTACCAATTTTAACAAAATCACGTTTCCAGGAAACGCGGACAAGGTTTCCAAGCGAACTGACCAAGTCCCAGGTTAACCCGCGTAAGGTTTCCTAGCGAACTGACCAAGTCCCAGGTTAACCCTCGTAAGGTTTCCAAGCGAACTGACCAAGTCCCAGCTTAACCCACGAAAAGTTTCCTAGCGAACTGACCAAGTCCCAGGTTAACCCGCGTAAGGTTATCAAGCGAATTGACCAAGTCCCAGGTTAACCCGCGTAAGGTTATCAAGCGAATTGACCAAGTCCCAGGTTAACCCGCGTAAGGTTTCCAAGCGAACTGACCAAATCCCAGCTTAACCCAAGAAAGGTTTCCAAGCGAACTGACCAAGTCCCAGGTTAACCCACGAAAGGTTTCCTAGCGAACTGACCAAGTCCCAGGTTAACCCACGAAATGCTTCCAAGCGAACTGACCAAGTCCCAGGTTAACCCACGAAAGGTTTCCAAGCGAACTGACCAAGTCCCAGGTTAATCCACGTAAGGTTTCCTAGCGAACTGACCAAGTCCCAGGTTAACCCACGAAAGGTTTCCAAGCGAACTGACCAAGTCCCAGGTTAACCCACGTAAGGTTATCAAGTAAACTGACCAAGTCCCAGGTTAACCCGCGTAAGGTTATCAAGTGAACTGACCAAGTCCCAGGTTAACCCGCGTAAGGTTTCCTAGCGAACTGACCAAGTCCCAGGTTAACCCGCGTAAGGTTTCCTAGCGAACTGACCAAGTCCCAGGTTAACCCGCGTAAGGTCTGTCTCTTATACACATCTAGATGTGTATAAGAGACAGGGTTAACCCACGTAAGGTTTCCTAGCGAACTGACCAAGTCCCAGGTTAACCCGCGTAAGGTTTCCTAGCGAACTGACCAAGTCCCAGGTTAACCCGCGTAAGGTTTCCTAGCGAACTGACCAAGTCCAAGCTTAACCCGCGTAAGGTTTCCAAGCGAACTGACCAAGTCCCAGGTTAAGGCGACATCCTCCGAGGAACTGGGACGGTCCCAGCCTGTCGTGGTCCCAGATGGCGAGTTCTAGGGACCGCTCGATGAGGTCCTGCAGACTGACGTCATCAAAGTGCATGGTGTGGTGCCAGCTCGGGTTGAGGGTCCGGCGACACACTGCGGTCTTCTGCTTGCTGCTGCGGCCCTTCTCCGGCATCAGCGTTCTGGGGCGTTAGCATCACTTTAGCATCGCAATTTAAATTATCATAATCGCTTAAACATCATCATTATCATTTAAACATCATCATTGTCATTTAAACAACATCATCATCATTAAAACTTCCATCAGTGAAGGACCTTCTCCGGCATCAGCGTTCTGGGGGCGTTAGGCATCACTTTAACATCGATATTTAAACTGACATCATCGTTTAAACATCATCATTGTCATTTAAACATCATCATCATCATTTAAACTTCCATCATTGAAGGACCTTCTCCGACATCAGTGTTCTGGGGGCGTTAGGTATCATTTTAACATCGATATTTAAAGTAACATCATCGTTTAAACTTCCATCATTAAAAACAAACAATCATTTAAAACTTCCGTCATCAAACAAACATAGTCATTTAAAGATATACATCTTCATACAAAAGATCCTCATTTCAAGAAACATTAATGTCAAGTTTTTCGAAATTTGATGGTAGTAATATCAGTTAGATACATCCACAGCTTACAGTGGGGTACGTACGGTGTATTTCCATTAGTACCTATACGTGAGGCGCTATTTAATTAGGATACACGAGGCTTAATTTCATTAGGATACGTGAGAGGTAATTTAAGTAGGATACGTGAGGCTAAATTTAATTAGGATATCTGATGCTTAATTTAATTAGGATACGTGAGACGCAATTTCATTAGGATACGCGAGGTGTATTTTCATTAGGATACGTAAGGGTTAATTTCATTAGGATACGTAAGGCGTAAGTTCATTGGGATACGTGAGGCTAAATTTAATTAGGATATCTGAGGCTTAATTTAATTAGGATACGTGAGGCTTAATTTAATTAGGATACGCGAGGCTTAATTTAATTAGGATACATGAGGGGTAATTTCATAAGGATACGTGAGGCTTAATTTAATTAGGATACATGAGGGGTAATTTCATAAGGATACGTGAGACGTAATTTCGTTAGGATATGCCAGGGTTAATTTCATTAGGATATACAAGGCGTAATTTCTACAAAATACAAACGACGAAACTCCAGTACAATACGTGCGGCGTAGGTTAAGTAAGATACGTACGCTTTACAGACAGGGTCGGCGGTGCCGTTAGGCTTGTTGCTCTGTAGGTTCTTGGCCTCTTTGATGAGGACATAGAGGCCTCCCTTGCTGCGCCTACCGCGTCTAGACCCGCCTAGGCCTACCGAGGACAGGCTCGTGCTGGACCCAGAGAGGTCAGGGGGTACGAACTTCAGGGCCACGATCACCTCCCCCCTTGACCCCCCTGTGATGGGGGGCAGCTCATCCACAGACTCAGACTGAAATGAATACGATGAATTGAATATTAATATGAATATTAATATTGAATATTATTATTGAATATTGTTAGTGAATATTGTTAGCGAATTTTAATTATTGAGTATTATTATAGAATATTATTATTGACTATTTTATAGAATATTACTTTTTAATTTTATTATTGACTATTATTATTGTATATTATTATTTTTCGTAAATTATTAATCTACGATGCTCGTGAATATATTTACATGAATAAACTAGAGTTCAAATCTACTGGATGTCCTGCAAGCGAAATTATAAATAATAAAATTCAATGTAAATGACCTAAAACAAAAGAGGGAAATAACAAGGGTAACGCTAAGGGAAATGGCGAATAAAGAAGCGAGAGAAGTTCGAAACCTCAGATCCCTATCATATTTCATGATAGCGTCAATTTATCTAACACTTAAACAAATAATTATGTTAATAAAGTTTTCACATTAGGATCAATTCGTAGTAATGTTTATTCATCAAGTTAAAAGTTTAGTAACGAAAATCCAGCGCCTCTCACAGCAGTGCAAAATATCATCACTTTTCACCAGCCACTCAACCTTTCTTCCCGGGATTGCCAATCACCCTCTCCAGCAGGGAGTGCCAGCTGTGCCACTCACCCTCTTCTGCAATGAGTACCTCGCGCCCCCTCCATCAGGAAGTGCCACTCACCCTCTCCTGCAATGAGTGCCACCGAGGGGCACCATCATCAAGTGCCACCTCAGTCATGGGCAGCAGCACCTCCCCTAGGAAGTCGTTGCGGCCGAACATGTCGGAGTGCCACACGGAGAGCCACAGCGTGCGCGATGCCATGCCACTCAGTGCCACAGGAAACTGTTGAATAGTTTAAATAGATATTATATAAAATAATAAATTCTACAACAAAAACTATGACTGCTGCATAGTACACGAGAGAATATATTCAGCGTGGCATGGAAAATAGTTCTCTGTTGAACAGATGCAAGAATAAACGTTCAACAAATATGGAAAGTGCAAGGTGATTCAGAGAAATTTCCTGTTTTATATTTCGCGCCAAACAGCCTGATGTTGCATGAAAAGGGCGGAGAGCATTTATATGAAAAAAAGGTCATGAAGTTTTGAGTCCCGCTTAGTTGGTTGCTACTATGCATTGGACAAGTGAGCAGCGTGCGTTTGCTGTCGAGGCGTACATTTCTAATCCATTCTCACTACTTAACGAGCATTCCGTACTTGGTTCCGTATTCATCCTTCAGGAGCCATACTTTCAAAACTCGCTAAGTGAACGTAAGTACTTACGCTCTATTTTCTTGTCTATGATTGGTGTATTTTGCTTGAAAGGCCGTCAATGATTGGCTGATGAACTTACGATCTCTTAATTTTTTTTTTTGAAAGTAAAGGCCCAGGTCGGTTTCCTGATCGGACACGCAAATGACTGACGCTTTATTTTGCCAAACCTTGCTGAAATGAATGTCCGGGATGTCTGGTCCAACAGGTTGGAGCCACGGCCCACACAGCGCGATGTTCAATGGATCTTCTGAGACAACATTTTGCCCCATCTTCTTGAGAGGTGACCTCTTTTGGCCACCCCGATCCCCCAATTTAGCTCCGTGTGATTTTTTATGGGGTTATCTTAAATGAATTGTTAACAATGACTGTCCAAGGACCCTATCATATTTGAAAAACAACACACGCCAAGCCATCGCCAACAAATACACGTCAATATGCTTCGGCGAGTTGAACACACAATGCTATTCCTACGTCAGTGTCCCGTCACTGCATCCATCCTTTGATTCACAATGCTATTCCTACGAAACTGTCACGTCTCTGCAACCATCCTTTGATGCACAATGCTATTCCTACGAAAATGTCTCGTCTCACAATGCTATTCCTACGACAAGGTCCCGTCTCTGCATCCATCCTTTGATTGCCATGGACCGTTTACGGCCACGGACCGTTGACGGCCACGGACCGTTTACAGCTACGGACCGTTTACGGCCACGGACCGTTTACGGCCACGGACCGTTTACAGCTACGGACCGTTTACGGCTACTGACCGTTTACGGCCACTGACCGTTTACGGCCACGGACCGTTTACGGCCACGGACCGTTTACGGCCACGGACCGTTTACAGCTACGGACCGTTTACGGCTACGGACCATTTACGGTGCGTTAGTGAACCATTCATTCAGAGAAATGAGGGGATCATTGTCCAAATTGCGATGCATGGTTGCTTATGTGAGGGTCATCCTGACAAAATGTGTTCCGGCAAAGGGCCGTACGTGATGCGGGTAAAATAGTGTGTCTCTATTTGGAAAATTTGTCACATTCATTTTTCTAAGTGTTGCTCAATCAAGAATGGCTTACCTTAAGGACCTCATCGAAGGTGGGGTTCAAGAGGGGTTCACATTAAGGACCTCATCGAAAGAGGGGTTCAAGGGGGTTCACTTTAAAGACCTCATCAAAGGTGGGGTTCAAGAGGGGTTCACATTAAGGACCTCATCGAAGGTGGGGTTCAAGAGGGTCTCACCTTAAGGACCTCATCGAAGGAGGGGTTCAAGGGGGTTCATTTTAAGGACCTCATCGAAGGTGGGGTTCAAGAGGGTCTCACCTTAAGGACCTCATCGAAGGTGGGGTTCAAGAGGGCTCACCTTAAGGGCCTCATCAAAGGTGGGGTTCAAGAGGGCTTACCTTAAGGACCTCATCGAAGGTCGGGTTCAATAGGGCTTACCTTAAGGACCTCATCGAAGGTGGGGTTCAAGAGGGCTTACCTTAAGGACCTCATCGAAGGTGGGGTTCAAGAGGGCTCACCTTAAGGACCTCATCAAAGGTGGGGTTCAAGAGGGCTTACCTTAAGGACTTCATCGAAGGTGGGGTTCAAGAGGGTCTCACCTTAAGGACCTCATCGAAGGTGGGGTTCAAGAGGGTCTCACCTTAAGGACCTCATCGAAAGTGGGGTTCAAGAGGGTCTTACCTTAAGGACCTCGTCAAAGGTGGGGTTCAAGAGGGTCTTACCTTAAGGACCTCATCGAAGGTGGGGTTCAAGGTGTGTTTCTTAACCTTAGTCTTGCGTTTTCCCGCCTTGGTTTTGTCTGGCAGCAGGTAAACCTTGACGTATCTGCCCACAAAATATGCAAATCAATAACAATTTGCATTATTATTTAATTATTATTATTTATTCCAGCTTTAAAAGGTAAGCACATCGAACACTACAATCATCACTTGAAACGAATATTGTTCAATTCAAATTTTGTTATTAATTACCTATTTTATATAATTACTAACTAGCATACAAAATATAATTGAATACGTGTTTTTAAACATTTGATTGTTTGTTTTTAGTCTAGTACAGCGAATACACGGAAATTTTACAGCGAAATACATCATGTCGAAACGTTACTGGGATCAGAATTTTCGCAGTAGTTGCATCGTTCGGTATTTTGAAGCTAGATATGGGGAGTCATAATTCATTACTACTAATAATTCATTATTCTATTGACAAATCGGTAGATTTTACTAACATAAAACGATTGAAATTAATATTTGAACCAAAACGCTAAAAGGGAACGGATTCGAACGGATTTTTCTCTAATTAACTTCATTCTAGTTTGAAAATATTAAGATAAATTTAGGAAAATTCCCTAATGAGGTTATAAAATTTGAGAAGTTATTCATTTTGTTTATTCGTTTACTTCAATTCGCTAACCAGCGTTAAACTAAGACGGTGTCAACATCACACCTCCTTATCATCACAGCGCGTAATCAGCGACCGGAGATGCAAGCTGGCGCGACAGCTCTCAGGCTAGCCTAATTAGGCCTTAAAGCTAGCCCTGAGGCTAGCCTAATTAGCCCCTAACGCTGGCCCTGAGGCTAGCCTGATCAGCCCTAAAGATAGCCCTGAGGCTAGCCTGATTAACCTTAAAGCTAGCCCTGAGGCTAGCCTTATTAGCCCTGAGGCTAGCTCAATTAGCCCTAAAGCTGGCCCTGAGGCTAGCCTAATTAGCCCTTAAAGCTGGCCCGGAGGCTAGCCTAATCAGCCCTAAAGCTGGCCCTGAGGCTAGCCTAATTAGCCCTAAAACTACCCCTGAGGCTAGCCTAATTAGCCCTAAAACTACCCCTGAGGCTAGCCTAATTAGCCCTAAAGCTGGCTCTGAGGCTAGCCTAATTAGGCCTAAAGCTAGCCCTGAGGCTAGCCTAATTAGGCCTAAAGCTGGCCCTGAGGCTAGCCTAATCAGCCCTAAAACTAGCCCCAAGGCTAGCCTGATTAGCCCAAAAGCTAGTATTAAGGCTAGCCTAATCAGCCCTATACAGCTGGCCCTGAGGCTAGCCTGATTAGTCATAAATCTAGCCCTGAGGCTAGCCTGATTAGCCGTAAATCTAGCCCTGAGGCTGGCCTAATTAGCCCTAAAGTTAGCCCTGAGGTTTGAATTTAGTGCTGAGGCTAGCCTAACTATCTCTGCACCTACACCTGAGGCTAGCCTAATTAGAGCAGCAGATAAATGCCAATTACTATTTATCTTTGTCTCGCTATTTACTCTTTCCTATGAGCACACCACGCAAAACCTTCGCTTGCAGGATTGCTGTATATTCACACAAAATATGCTTCACAAAAGAATCCTATCATCCGAGTCCTAATTTAAAAAATATAACACAGTACTCACTGCAGTGAGTGACAGAGAGCGCATTTTCTCGTCGACGAAAACGTGGTCACGGACGGACGGACGGACGGACGGACATGGCGAGCACAATAGTGCATTTTTTCCATAAATGAGAAAATGCGCTAAAAAGGACAAATTTGCACAAGTAATAATTTTCACAAGTACCACTGCGCATTTAAATTTAGTAGAATATTTATAGCAAAAAACTGTCCTACGAAAAAATCCCACATCTATTCTAAAAATTCAGCTCAAAGATCTCACGGACCCGATCGATAATATCAGAGCAAACACACATAAAATTTCAAAAACATTTTCGAAAACATCACAACCGATATCAACCAAATACCCTACACCCATAACAATATTCCAGCTTATATAATTAGTTTACTTACACCACCAGTTTAATAATAATTAACAATCAAAGAAATCACAAATTTACAATAGAATCTCATTAGACTGGTTAGAGATTCCATTGTAAATTTCATTAGAGTTTCCTTTGCGTTTCCATCTCATTAGCGTTTTCTTTGCGTTTAAATGTGTAATACTTCAGTTCACAGAACAGACCGCTAACATCACAATAAATATAAAAATGATACCCACATCCCGAACGATATTATAGCTTATATCACAAGTCTGTTTTATCTCCCGCTTACCAGGAATTTAAATGCAAATTTTCAATGAAAACATGGCAAACTTCATTTGCGGTCATTTTACTTAATATTTTTTTTTCAGTTCAGTCAACTCGCGCAGTAATAATATTTCTCAAATATAACATCACTAATATTTAATCTCAAATATCTGAAGCGTTAAACCGATAATACGAGTATCACAATAAATCTTAGCAAAATACAACTAAAAATATCCCAGCTGAGATAACTCACGGGCCAGATTCCGTACAATATTTTTATGACTCACGGGCCAGATTCCGTACAATATTTTTATGACTCACGGGCCAGATTCTGAACAATATTTTAATGACTCACGGGCCAGATTCCTCAGATTCCGTACAATATTTTAATGACTCACGGGCCAGATTCCGTAAAATATTTCAATGACTTACGGGTCAGATTCCGTACAATATTTTAATGACTCTTGGGCCAGATTCCGTACAAATAATAACTACAAAATAACAAAAAGATGTACAAAAGTAATAACAAAATAACTCACTACAAAAGACGTACAAAAATAATAACAAAATAACTCATTTGTCAGATTCAGTACAAATAATAATTACAAAACAACTAAAGGATATACAAAAAAATAACAAAATACTTCACTTGTCAGATTCACTACAAATAATAATTACAAAATAACCAAAAAGATGTACAATTACAATAACAAAAAGACTCACGGATCGGACCGCCCCCTCTTGCCATCCACAGCAGCGATGTCGCGGCACTGTAGGACGTGGCACTGCAGTGCCGCCTCCTTGTAGTTGTAGTCCAGTGCCAGCAGCACTTGGCCCTTCACGGCCACCGTCGTGTAGCCTCCGCCGCTGCCTGAGCATACGGACGGCAGACTTTCACTGCGACTCTGTAAAGAAATATTAATAAATTACATATTTTTATAGAGAAATTGTTATAATAAATACATTATTATTGTAAAGAAATAGTCCAGTGCCAGCAGCACTTGGCCCTTCACGGCCACCGTCGTGTAGCCTGCCCCGCTGCCTGAGCAAACGGATGGTAGACTTTCACTGCGACTCTGTAAAGAAATGGTAATAAATTAGTTGATTTTATAGAGAAATTGGTATAATAAATAAATTATTATTGTAAAGAAATAGTCCAGTGCCAGCAGCACTTGGCCCTTCACGGCCACTGTCGTGTAGCCTCCGCCGCTGCCTGAGCAAACCGACGGCAGGCTTTCACTGCGACTCTGTAAAGAAATATTAATAAATTACTTATTTTTATAGAAAAATTGTTATAATAAATACTTTGCTTTTACAGAGAAATTAAGTTAATTATTATTGTAGAGAAATGAAGTTAACGATTTAACTTCATCGTAAGAGGTAGACATTAATGAGATAGCGCATCGTTCCACTCCGGCTCTGTAATGAAATATCAATAAATTACTTATTTTTATAGAGAAATTGTTATAATAAATACATTGTAATAACGGAAGAAGGAAAAGTTAATCAATTTAATTTAACATAAGAGATTGACATTGTTGAGACAGCGCATCGCTTCACTGCGGCTCTGCAACGAAGTGTTAATAAATTTATAATTGCTATAGTGAAATGTGTAAGTTAGATGTTACGATTTCATTTGATATTAAAAACATACATTTTTGACACACGAACATTCAAATTAATTCTTGTTATAGAGCAATTATTAGGACATAGTGTAATAGACCTCATCCTGAATGGTAACTCATTTATCATTTGAATCATTCAACATTTATGATAACAGCTTCATTTTTGATACAATGAAAAATTTTACTCCAGCTCTGCAGAGTAATGGTGATCCATTAATTATTGTTATAGAGAAATTCTTAGGATAAAAAATTAATAACTTATAACTAACTAAACCATTTAAGATTCATCTTAAAAGAACCATTGTTCACTCATCGATTTGCTTCAGTTTTGCAAGAATAAACATTCATTAAAATTAGGATTGAAGGGAACAATCTGTCGTACACATTTGATTGCACTTTATCATTATTGATAACAATAACGGCAAAATTATTCATTTTACCCACATATTTAACAACTATCATAAAACGAATCATTTTACACTCCGTTATAACAATGACGTGGACACTTAACAAAAATGGACGGTCTATAATAATGACCCAGATACATGGTCTATATTTACTTCACATTCATATGAATGGATGAAACTGTTCCATAACTTCCTTTCTACTATCATTAACCTTCATAGTTTATTCATATTCCATTCATACTGTTACAGCTTCGTTGCAATAAAGTTTGAATGCTTCGGATAATAAATACGCTATACGCGCATTTCATTTTGCTGTCGCTCTGTTCGTAAGTTATCTTGTAACAGAAAAAAAAGTTGAGAATTTGTCCAGATAGCAATGAACTTTTTGTTCATGTGTGAGTCATCCTGACCTAGTTTGGTACGATAAATGGGTATATGCTACGCCTGCTCCCTGCTTGTGTTGTGTATAAGAAGTGTCACTATTCGGACAAAACAATTCATTCATTTTTCGGAGTGATCACACCGCTCACTTTACGCCTCCTTTTAAATCTTCAATAATTTGTTAACTTGGACGAATATTAATTCCATTTATTAACTCAATACGATATGCCATAAATTTTATAATAAGTTATATTCATAAAGCCGAGAATGATATTCAAAGGCAATGGTGAATATAACAGTGATCGAATACCGGTAATTGTGAGAGTCAGATTACCACGTCAATGTGATGGTAACGATTAACCACAACTTATACAGAATCCCAAACGAGTAACTCGAAGTAACTCGAAGAAACAGTTCGGGAATTTTCAAGTAACGCGCGTCTCCAAAACGACTCAAACTTTGGATAGATGTTTCTCGTTTAAGTTAGTTTAATTAAAAGTTATTAATTTAAAATTTAAATAATTTTAAACATAAGGCTGCGCATCTCTGACACTGAATACACTGCCTTAGGTATTAATAATTTGAATTTAGTCTTTTAATTCCAATAATGTGAATTTTGTCGTAAAACAGAATTTTTTGTTGTAAAACAGAAGCTCGCGCATCTCTGATACTGAATAGATCAATGTAAACAGAAGCTCGCGCATCTCTGATACTGAATAGATCAATGTAAACAGAATCCAGCGCATCTCTGACACTGAATAGATCAATGTAAACAGAAGCTCGCGCATCTCTGACACTGAATAGATCAATGTAAACAGAAGCTCGCACATCTCTGACACTGAATAGATCAATGTAAACAGAAGCTCGCGCATCTCTGACACTGAATAGATCAATGTAAACAGAAGCCTGCGTATCTCTGATACTAAATAGATTATGTAAACAGAAGCTTGCGCATCTCTGACACTGAATAGATCAATGTAAACAGAAGCTTGCGCATCTCTGACACTGAATAGATCAATGTAAACAGATGCTCGCGCATGGAGTAAATCTCAATGATTTAGTTAAGCTCAGTGTAGCAACTTCCTAAACTAATACACGATCAACATCCACCCCTAAATTCTGATAAATAATTTTTATTATATTAATACGTTATTATTCCTAATTTGCTAAGTCATCCTCATTTTGATTGATAATCTAATGATGAAATTCCGATTCGACTTCTTAATTAAGTAATTGTCGCAGCATCAGGGTGATGTTTCAAACTTCGTGGGCTCACGATAATGACGCTACCAGCATTTCCTTTAATAAATGACATTAAAGAAGGCTTATTAAATTTAAAATTCCGTTACACGGGGCCATAATCCATTTAATACACATAGTAACCCATGAGGACGGAGCGGACGATTACTCGTTTCTGATTGGTTGGTTTAGCTTGAAAAGTCGTCAGTAACCAAGCCGTCACTTAATTAGGCCGCTACGTGCACATAGGCCGCTACGTGCACATAGGCCATTACGTGTACGTGGGCAGCTACGTGCACATAGGCCGCTACGAGTACTTAGGCCGCTACTTCTACTTTGACCGCAACGTGTACTTAGGCCGCTACGTGTATTTAGGCCACTACGTGTACTTAGGTCGCTACGTGTACTTAGGCCGCTCCATGCACATAGGCCGCTACGCGTACTTAGGCCGCTACGTGCACATAGGCCGCTACGTGTACATAGGCCGCTACTTCTACTTTGACCGCTACATGTACTTAGGCCGCTACGTGTGCTTAGGCCGCTTTGTGTACTTAGGCCACTACGTGCACTTAGGCCGCTACATGAACTCAGGCCGCTACGAGTACTCAGGCCGCTACGTGTACTCGGCCGCTACATGTTCTCAGGCCGCAACTTATACTTAACCTCTTCGTGTACTTAGTCCGCTACTTCTACTTTGACCGCTACATGTTCTTAGGCCGCTACGTTTACCTAGGTCGCTACATGTACTTTAACCGCTACTTGTACTTTGACCGCTGCTTGTACTTTGACCGCTACGTGTACCTAGGCCGCTACGTGTACCTATGCCGCTACGTGTACTTAGGCCCCTACGTGTACTTAGGACGCTCTCTGATACTGAATAGATCAATATAAACATTGACAGCTACGTGTACCTAGGCCGCTACGTGTACCTAGGTTGCTACGTGTACTTATGTCGCTACGTGTTCCTAGGCCGCTACGTGTATTTAAAAAAATTCATATAATACGGCCCCNCAGAGGGAGGGTACAACAGGGAACAGAGAGAGGGTACAACAGGGAACAGAGGGAGGGTACAACAGGGAACAGAGGGAGGGTACAACAGGGAACAGAGAGAGGGTAAAACAGGGAACAGAGAGAGGGTACAACAGGGAACAGAGAGAGGGTACAACAGGAACAGAGGGAGGGTACAACAGGGAACAGAGAGAGGGTACAACAGGGAACAGAAGGAGGGTACAACAGGGAACAGAGAGAGGGTAAAATAAAGTAATCCCTGCTGGGATCAAAGGATCTCAGCCTCGAGCTGCAGTGCCCTTGAGCGCCCAAACTTTCGTTGGTAACAAGAAAAATAAGAAGCAAATTAGAATGAAATTCGTACTGTGCAAAACTAGAGTGGAATATTCTGGGGCCGATGTACCGACGGTATATCATGTACGGCTGCGGACGTATCCTGATAGTAGTACATTAAATGTTATTTAAAAAATAATGTTCACTAGTTTTGGTCTGGTCTTTTATTTAAATAATTCTGGAGGAATAAAATTTTATAAAATTTTTTGAACGGTCTGAACTTTTGATACCCGACGTGGGCCATCGAAAGTAGCTAAAGTTATATTTAGGTTCTGTGACTGAAAGTAATCGAAATTTGTAGATCATGTAAAATTTTCAGAAACAATTAAAATGTAAATACTTCGATCCAAAAAATTAGACAGAATCCGTCGGAGCGCAGAAGAGAACGTACACAAAATTTGTTGAAAAATTTGCACTTCAGCGCGGGTTTTTAAGAAAATGTATCATAATCTATAGGTAAGTTATGTTATTTATCATAATAAATTCATCATTAAGTAACATACCGTAAACTGGGGTAACTTAGACTCCCGGGGTAACTTAGACCACTTTTCGTTTTTTTAACAAAAACCCCCAAAACTCAAAAACTATTAGACATAGAAAAATTCTGTCAATGGGCATTAAAGGCCTAATATTGAGGCTACGTAACACAATAGAAAAATTTTAAAAGTTTGCATATCTAATAGGTTAAAAAGTTAAAAATGTGACCCACAAAGAAGAGCTATTATTTAAAGCCTGTCGGAGTACCCCCTCCAATTTTTTCATTTTTTTTGGCAAAATAACTCCAGGTTTTGATGCATTGTAGTACAACTCTTCTAGTTACATATGCAACAAACAAATTTTAGGAAAGTCTCATAGTTTGCAAATGGGGGGCGCCACCCCCCAATGGGGGAACTTAGACCACCTGGGGGGCGG